AACACCGATCACATGTTTTGTGCTGAACTGATGGTCCTTTCAGGGTAGAGTAGAGAACCTTAAGCTACAGGGATTAGCAGCTAAAAAAGTGTCAGGCACCACTTTTTAATAGTTAAAAATGTTTCTATTTTATTTTAAGTGTTCACATTCTACTTTACAACATTTTATTTGTACGAATATAAAAATACAATTTAAATCTACTCTGAGGTTAAGTTATCTAAGTGGCCACTCAAATTTTTAAATAAACACGAGGCTTCTGAGAAATGAACCACCTATCAACATCCTCGTGCCTCCCGGTTTCTCTGCATCCCTGCAGACACATGTATGCCACCGAGACCACGTGACAAAAATTGGAATAACTTGGAATTAGTGCACCTAGATATTTTTGTCTACCATATATATTCTTTTAGTACTTACTTGTTTTAACTTTCTCTTATAGGTTTTAAGGCACAGCAGCATAAAGCCAATGTTAATTTGGAGCTGAATAACTGGATAGTCATTCATTAAGAAAATATTTATGAATGGTTCCCAATACATGCTATGGAAGCATAAAAATGGATGTGACATGGGTCTGGAGCTCTTAAAGAAGAGAAATTAACATGTATTGAGTGCTTAATCTCAGCTAAGCATTGAGCTAGGACTCCCAATAAATGGATCTCATTTAAATTCACCAAACCCCCAAATGTGGCATTATATTCTCATTTTCCAGATAAGGAAACAATAGTTTAAGGTGAAAGAAACCTTGGCTAACATCACCTAGTCAGGACATGACTATAAGTCCATGCATCTTCTATAATAGGATAATAATAAATGGCATCCCACAAAGAAGATAAGGCAACAAGAATATATACAGAATTGCAGAAACCGGTTTGGCTCCGCGGTAGAGCGTTGGTCTGCAGACTGAAAGGTTCCAGGTTTGACTCCGGTCAAGGGCATGTACGTTGGTTGTGGGCACATCCCCAGTAGGGGGTGTACAAGAGGCAGCTGGTCGATGTTTCTCTATCATTGACGTTTCTAGCTCTCTATCTCTCTCCCTTCCTCTCTGTAAAAAATCAATAAAATTAAAAAAAATCAACAGGCTGGGTGACTTATCCAGCAGGAAATTAAAAAAAAAATAAAAAGAATATATACAGAATCATATATGAGGGATTTAGGAACAGAGTGATATGTTTGATTTTGGTTAGTGAGATCAGAGAAGGCTTCATGGAATAAGACCTACAACTCAGAATGAGGGCAAGAGTTCACAGCTTAGCAGCTTGGACATTCTAGAAATTGGAGAAACTAAGACCACATTGGAGAAAACCATAACTGGGACCACATGGAGAGTTACAGAGGAGTAATAGAGTTGGACTATAACTTGAACTATAAATAAGAACACTGGGTGAAAGGTAAGCAAAGAAAGAAGGGGCCCAATGTGAGGCATCTTACATTTCAGGAAAATTAGAGTTTTGAAGCTATAGACTGCAATGCTCTTGATAGCCTGAGTTTGGAAATGATGAATCCAAAGGGGAAAAATTAGCCTAGCAGAGCTGAGCGGGCCACTGGGGGTGAGCCAGGGTGTGGCTATGGGAATATGTGGAAGGCAGTGAGTAAGTCTGTAAAGAAGATTCATTAGTACATGGTACCTAGGACACCTGGAAGAGCAAAGAGCAGATACTAAAAATTATGGAGACGTTCCCAATTCAGATAACTGATGGGAGGTCAACGGTTGCAATATGGAAATCAGGAGAAGTTGCTGGATTGGAGGGAGGAGATGAAAAGGCATGATGCACTGGTTTTTAAACACAGTCAAGTTGGCTGCTAGAAGGCACACCCTTATAATGTCAGTCAACAGATGAAGACAAAGGACAGAAACCTGGAGAGAGCGTGGAGTGTGGTGGCATATTTGGCAGTAAAGTGATGTGAAAGAGGAAGGCAGAGAGAAGAGACAAGGAGTCGATGATAAAATCAGAACATCTTCTCTAAGGATTTCGAGAAAAAAATAGGACCTTGCGATGAAATCAGAGAACATACAACTCAAGGTAGAAGGAAAGGTCAGCAGGAAATTAATTATGAAATTGGAGAAAAATATTTCAATTTAGTGATGAAGGTTATTGTGAGGTCTTAAGGAATTTATAGGTTATAGGTTATAGGCTTGCTTTTTTAATAGCTATGAAAAGCCAAAGAGAATTTGACAGTGAAGGGAAACCTTAGAGGAGCAGAAATGGTGGTTAAGTGATGGCCTTCTTATATTGTTCATGTTTTTTGTTTTTAGAATAAAGGATCATGTCTTAGAATGAGGCTCATACCTTATGGATAACATCTTAAAAAAACACCACCATTTTTCAGAGGTAGTGCGCTGACATAATAGTTATTATGATCATAAGAAAGGGCTGAGAGGAAGCAGTGTGAAAGACCACGAAACACAGAGATTTTCAGTGGCAGCATCTTTTTTCTCTTTGGAACTCACCCTTCAATACAGAGGTTCACTTCCCCAAATTCTGAAATTATTGTATGACATCTTCCTTGGCTCCATCTCAGTCTTGCTTCCTACCACCTAATCTAGACATGTAAAGAGAAGACGCTTCTTCCTCCTCCAATTTCCTTCCCTGCAAGTCCCTCCCCCAGCTTTGTGCAGTCTGGTATCTGTCCTCACCCTCGTGGACACTACTCTATCTAAAGCCAGCAAAACCTCCTAAATGAGAATCCCAAAGGCTCTACTTCAGTTCATATGTGATTGACTTTCTCTGCCTTGACAATCAATAATCAATCTCTTTCTTCCAAAAATATTTTCTCCCCTCATTTCAACATGCCACACAGCCCTGGCTCACCTCACATCTCTTGGACTTGATGATTGTATTATGTGTGATCTCTTTCTCTTTTAATTTTTCAATGGTGAGGTTTTCCACTTGAACTCCATCTTCTTTTCTCACTCGGGAGTCTTTTTCTAGACTCCAGCTTTTCCTACCATATGTAAGCTGAGGATTCCCCAATTACTGTCTCCAAGGCAGACGTTCTCTGAGTTGGAACTCATATGTGGATCTCTGTGCTGAATGCATCTGACTGGGGTGTTCAGTGCATACCTCATTTGTTTTTCTTCTTCTAGTCTCAAACTCAGCTGTTGATACTACCATCTACCCAGGTACCCCAGCTCTTTCATATTCATTCCAAATCACTGAGAATTTATATTTCCTAAATATTTCTTTTTAAAAAGTATGTCTTTATTGATTTCAAAGAGAGGAAAGAAGAGAGAGAGAGAGACATAGGAACATCAATGATGAAATCATTGACTGGCTGCCTCATGCACACCTTATATTGGGGATTGAGCCCACATGCCAGGCATGTGCCCTGACTGGAATCGAACCACGACCTCCTGGTTCATGGGTCAACCACTGAGCAACACTGGCGAGGCTCTCTTAAATATTTCTTGATTCTGTCCTCCACCCTTAATGCTACCACAACTGTTTCCTGAATCAAGGTTTTGTTACCTTTCACTTGGACTACGGCAATAATCTCATCCCTGGTTACTCTGACTCCAGTATTGTCCCCTGAAGAACAACCTCCCACTTCTGCCACAGCGCTCCCAATCAAAAATAAAACCCTGTCTTCCTCTCCTTAACATTCTTTAATGGTTGACCATCCTCTACAAGCCTATAGGATCAAGACCATGCTTTTTAACATAAAAGGCTACCTATGATCTGGCCAATCTCTTCTCTTGGCATGCCCTGCTCAGAAATGTAAGCTCTAGCAACCCTGAACTTCTTATAGTAACTGAAGATTCTCATCATATTTTTCTCCCCTCCATGCCTTTCCTTACGCCAGCCACTCTGCTTCTACTCACTTTGATATGACTACCTCCCTCCCATCTTTTACCATCAGCTCTGGGACCATCTCTTCTGAGAAGCCTTTTTTGACTCTTGCCTGCCCCCTACCTCAACCTGAAGAGATACAGCAACCTGTGAACGCCATCATTTCCCTCAACACGTGACATAGCCACGATATGCATTGTGTTTGAATTCCACAATAGAAGAAGGGCATGTCTACTTTGTTTCTTCCTTAGAATGTTATTTATTACAGGTTACGGCTTCCTGTGCCTCCAACTGGTGGAGCAATGTTGGAAAGGTTTGGAAGAGCCACCTTCAGTCCTCCTCCCAGAGTGCATGGTTTAAATCATTTTTTAAAAACTCTCTTAGCAACTTTTACTCTATAGGGGAATGAGACAGTTGACAAAAGGCAAACCAAAAAGGGAATGGGGTTTGCTGAGGGTTCCATTCAAGCTGTATAAGAAAATGTTGCAGGGAAGCTCTTATGCTGGTTTTGTGACTTTTATCAAAAGATTCTTCAGCCCAACATGGAAAAATAGATGGTGAGTATAATCTGGAGCTGGGGATTATTTCAGGAATGGAAAGGATTCTAGGATAATTAGGCCAGCTATAGAGAAAACTAAACCAGAAAGCTGTGGTATATGGAGAGGAGGGTAGAGCCAAAGGGAATGATGAGGACAAAGAAAAGGTTGGACCTGAGAGAGATAATAATGGGAGAGGGAGGACAGTGTGTGTGTGAGTGTGAGTGTGTGTGTGTGTGTGTGTGTGTGTGTGTGTGAGAGAGAGAGAGAGAGAGAGAGAGAAATGAAAAGTGTCAGTGAGTAAAAGTTCAAGTTACTAAAAAAAATCTGTGAATTCATAATCTAACAAAATAATAATCATTCTATTATTTAATCAATAATGTTACTGTGATAAAAAAAAATCTATTTAACCAGTTGATGGAACCTTTTGGCATTTTGCAACACATTCCATAGTCAGTGAATAGGAATTGTAGAAATAATGTTAAGATAGCCTTGGGATGTAATTATTCTATCTATTTATGGAACAGAGAATCCCAGTCGAATGCTCAGTTACATAATCTGAATGTTATCTAGCTTCCATTTTGAAATAATTTTTCCCAAAGTATGGCAAGTAAACACCATTCTAGCCCCTTCTGGGCAGTGTCACCTGTTATCTTAGTATCTTGAGAACACTTACCACAGATGAAGCAGGTTGTTTTTAGAATTTCTTCTTTTTTCTGTTTCTCACTTCTGAGATCAGCAAAAGTATCAATGATGACACCAAAAATCAAGTTAAGGACAATAATGATGACAATGAAATAGAAAAGAAGGTCATATACCACTCGGGCAGCAAATAAGGGCTCCTGAAATAAAAAATTAAAATAAAACTATATACGCATACACATGATTCAGCATATTGGCTAGCAAAGAGAATATATTCAATAAATATTTGCTAAATTAATATAAATAATATTCCAACTTGGAAAAAATAAGACCCGCTTTCTACCTTCATTTTCTTTAAATGTAATGAGAAAAGCTTCACAGCCTGTTCCTAGAACCCCTTCCATTCCCTGGGATTTACACCTGCCCTCCCCCACTCGCACCCCTGCCATGGAGAGACTTGCTTTTTATTAAGTAAGTCATCATGCTAAATGCAATTTGGTGCAGCAGATTGCATCCCACAAGTTGCACAAAAGACATACAAATATCGATTCTAAAAGTCAAGAGATTAAGGAGTTGAGGAGGACCTAATGATTTGTCAAGTTCTGGAATAGGTTTTGTTCTTAGCCTTACATTCAGGGTCAAGTACATACAGCTCAAGCTATTTCTACTTGATGAACAGCATTAAAGTATACAACAGAGGTCATGTAATTCAGCTATGCCATAAAGAGGAAACATTACATGAACTGACCACATGATACAACTAGCCTGCTGGAGAACTGAGATTTTTTTTTCCCCCAAGCTCCCAGCCTGGTGTTTGCAGCCAATGAGAAATTTTTCAGCCTTGCCATTTTAAGTTATGAAATCCTGTTAGAACTTGTTTAAATGTTATGTTCATCATGGATAAATAATAAAGGCTACTCATAGGCAGAGGCAAAGAGAAAATCTTCATGCCTAAGAAACCTGATAGACAAAAGGCAATCTAGTTTCTGTTACTTATATAACACTCAACTCCTATATAACTTCTCGAATCACGATTTTGTTGCTGTAACACAATACACAGTTCAAACTTGGAAAAAATTCATAACCCTGCTAACAATAAAGGTTTTAGTACATTAATGATGTTTTAGTACATTAGTGATACGATTAACTGGTTTTAATGGCTATCATTATAGTTGTAAAGCAAGACACAAGATAGTACCCTGAAAACTATATATATAGTAAATGTTGTTAAGAGACTTTTAAAAAATGATTATGTGCTCCTTGAAGAAATACTTTTCCTCCTGCTTACATCTTTCGATGGCCTTCTCAGCACATCACCCACGCCACCACCGTTCCTGAGGCCCTGGTTCAGGACAGTGACAATGCACATCAGGAGAGTATCACACGTCCTTTCAATTCCGTCTTCATACTCTTCATCACCTATAAGAACACACAAGTTCAGCAATGCAGCAAACTCGTGCTTCTTGTTTGTTTTTAAAATATGTGGTATTTTTGTTTTGTTTCATTTTGTTTTTTAGAGAGAGAGATAGAAACATCGATGAGCAACTTTGATCGGCTGCCTCCTGCACACCCCCTATTAGTGATCCAGCCCACAACCCAAGCATGTGCCCTGACCAGAATTTGAACTGGTGATCTTTCGGGCATGGATGATGCTCAACCAACGGAACCACACTGACCAGGCCTAACTCATGTTTTAAAAATACACAATTTCCTGCTTCCAGAATATATTTATATCATAACCATGCCATAACACAATTTTCTGAAGTCACATAACACCTATTTTATATGTGGCATCCCATGATTGACATGGACTGATCAAGTCACTGAAATAGTTTTTCCTCCCATCAGTGGAAAATGACAGCATGAGAAGGGCAAACTATAAGAAATTTAATCTTTAGTGTGCATTATTGTGCTGTGGGGAAAGGAGATTGTGGTAAGACCTCCTGAAAACCCAGGAACCAAAAGTATTGCTGGAAAAAGAGTGCAGAAGGAAGCTAGGCAGGCCTGGCTTCAAATTCTAGTCACTTCCAGAACTGGGACTTGGGCAAGTTCCTTAACCTCAATAGCCTGTCCTGTAAAATGGGAGGTTTGTTTAAGGATTAAACCCTTCAGAGGATTATATTTAAGAAACGCAAAACACTATGATTACACAGGGATTGGTATACACATAGTAGGTGCTTAAAATCCAGGCAGATGTTATTTCATTGATTTGCTAAAGGTCCAAGCTTTCTTAAGCTCCATGACCAGCATGGAGCTATAGATAAAAAGCACAATGTATTTATGTGAACAACTTATTTTATGCAAATGTATATGAAAATATTTAGGGAGGAATGGGGGGAGAGAAAAAAAAGATATAACATGACAGAAAAATTCCTAGTCTTATGTTGTTGAATGGCAAAGTTACCCAATCTCCTAGTCATTTAAAATAGTAAAAAAAAAATAAATGAATAAAAAATAAAAAAATAGACACTGGAATCAGGATCATCATGTTGATGAGTGAGCAGAAATATATTTTTCTTGTTTCAAAGGTGAAGAGCCACAGTAGCACTGAATTTTGGAATTGTGTGGCCACTGCCTGCCTGTCAAAACCTGAGTGTAAAAACAACCACCACCAAAGGAGAAAAAAGAATCCGCCTAATTCCATCTACCTGATCCATGAACAACCCGTTTGGGTATTTTGTTACAAAAGGCTGATTCTCCTCTTTCGAACTGACTTTATTAGCACATCACTTGGATGAGGGATCCCAGTCTTTTCACTTGATTCAGAGCTATTTCTTTAACATAAACAGAGCTACTTCTCTAACATAAACCATGCACTCTGGGAGGAGGGCTGAAGGTAGGGATGTGCAGCCACCAAATGCAGCATCAAAGGTCTCAGCAGAGCCTGCGCTGGACCACTTACCTCAGAGGTGAGCCACAAGGCAATTCAATTTTCTGACTTAGAAAGCAGAAGACATAAAACTGGTTTTGGAGGGAGGAGAAATGGGGAAGAGTCAGGGCTTGTGGTGGCAGCAGTCAGAGCAGCAGAAGAGACAAGGTAGGCAGAGAAAGTAGGGAGAGAGCTCAGTCTGCAGTGTGCCATTTAGGTGCCGGACATCCGGTGCTGGGTTCTAATGTGATGGCTAGGAAGAATGTGGAGAAAAACAGTTAGAAACATGTAAGAGAGTTAAAGAAATTTCAAAAGAGAAATAGGGTTTTCTAGTAATGAGGTCAGATGGAATAGGTATCTATGTTACTTTGCCACAGCCTTTCAATCAAAGCAATCATTTATCTAGTGGCGGGATCTGCATGCGTTTACCCAATCATCAATGTCACACACATGTTTGCTAAAGGCTTACTGATGAGTACTGTCTCTCCCCCAAGAACTCAGAAATAAGGTTGTTTGTTCTTTAACAGGTGAGCTAATAAAATCCACACACAACTCATGTGATTAGTCATTGTGAAATAAAATAAACTGGCTGCAAATATACAATGAGAGACTTGGCTTTCTGGGTGGCACATAAACAGGGGAGAAATTCTCAGGTCAGGTTAAGGCCAGCAACAGTCCAGTTAGCATGCTCCTTAATAACTGGTGCACAGGCATGCCAGTTTTATATAGTAGGCTCTGTGAGCTTGGCTAATAAGATTCTACCTTGGTGAGATGGATCCACTCACAATATGTTAAGCCAAGTTCCCAGGCCTTCAGGCTGAAAGCCAGGCCCTGAGTCATAGCAAACTCACCTAAGTAAATGCGACCTGGTGGAGACCTATCTACATATCCAGCTGGCTTCCCCAGACCAAACCTGCCTGGTTTCACTACATTAACAGCCCTGGGCTAGGTGCTAGGAATACAGGTGGAAAGATGAAAGTGTTACAGCCCCTAGGAAATGCACATTCCCCTAGGAAAGGCAGGTCAGCAGACCGACAAAGGCAGTGCAGTGTCACAGGGCACTGCAGAGGCAGGAAGGAAGTGCCTCTCCCGGACTGGGGTGTCAGAGACAAGCATCCTGAAGGAGGTGGCACCTGAGTTGAATCGTGGAAGACAGGCCTGTTTGGAAAGTCAAACCAGTGAAGCAAAAAACATTCCAGGCAGATCAAGTGGGGAGAGCAAAGGCAGAACAGGCATGAAAGCATATGGGGCGTTGGGGAATTACAAGTGGATTGGAACGATGGGCCTTGGATGGATGCAGACGAGTGTGGGAGCCATGAGAAGAGAAGTGGGCAGGCACCAGGTTAGGAGGCACTCATACGCCAAGATGAAGGGTTTAAACTTTGTCCTGGAAGCTGTGGAGAGCTACTGGAGAACTTCCAGCAGGGGTAGGTGGTTAACCATGTAGGTGGTGAAACAGTGTGAGATAAAACATGTATTGCAGGTCTTTGAATAATGTCATTCTGTTCATCATCGTTTCTTTATAATGATGAGGGGATGCCACCGGAACGAAACTCTTGTTTACATCTATTAGCTGACTTCACTTTCTGTTGTTTCAAAAAATCTATCCATAATGTCGAGTGAACACTTACTGTACTTAGGTAGTAAGACAAATTAACATGTGATAAAAAGCCACAGAAGTAGTGAAAAGAGGCTAGAAAAGGGAGAGAACCTTTAATACCATGGGAGTCCCTCGGATTAATGTAGATTCCAAGTTTGCCTTGAATATTACATTCTATGGACTGAGACAGGAGTAGAGAGGCATTTCACATGGTATGAGCAGAGAGCCCAGAGGTAAAAAAAAAAAAATACTCGCTGCTATGATGAACAGCAAATACGCAGCATGCAGAGGAGGGACCCCTCTGTGAAGCTCAAGAGTTTGGGATTTAATTTGGCAAGCGATGGACCATGGCAGAAATCCTGAGTTGTGGGAAGACAAGGAAATATTCAAAGCAGTGATTTCTGACAAGTAGTGCAGTGGTGATATAGCGGGTGAACTGAACGGGAGAGAATGAGCAGAGGTAGAAAGACCCCTTAGGAGGCAGCTGCCATAATTCAGGCATGATGTGCTGTGAGCCTCAACAGGGCAATGACAGCGGGGATGGAAAGAATGAATAAGTGGGAGCTGATAAGACTCCAGGCACCAGGGAGAAGACAACATTAAATAGCACACTGATGCTTCCAGCCAGAGGTGACTTGAGAAAGGATGGTCTCGCCGAACCGGTTTGGCTCAATGAATAGAGCGTCGGTCTGCGGACTGAAAGGTCCCAGGTTCGATTCCGGTCAAGGGCATGTACATTGGTTGTGGGCACACCCCCAGTAGGGGATGTGCAAGAGGCAGCTGGTCGATGTTTCTCTCTCATTGACGTTTCTAGCTCCCTATCTCTCTCCTTTCCTGTCTGTGGAAAATCAATTAAAAAATAAATAAATAAAGGCAAAACTTATTAAAAAAAAAAAAAAAAAAAAAAAAAAAAAAAAAAAAAAAAAAAAAAAAAAAAAGAAAGGATGGTCCCATTAGGTCATAGAAACAGCCAATTCAGGAGGAGGGATTTGGGTGCTCTGATGAAGATAAGGAAAGACTCTCAGATGACTATTTAAAAACAAACAAACATATTTTATTGATTTTTTAGAGAGGAAGGGAGAGGGATAGAGAGCTAGAAACATCGAAGAGAGAGAAACATCAATCAGCTGCCTCCTGCACACCTCCTACTGGGGATGTGCCCACAACCAAGGTACATGACCTTGACCGGAATCGAACCTGGGACCTTTTAGTCAGCAGGCCGACGCTCTATCCACTGAGCCAAACCAGTTAGGGCTCAGATGACTCTTAAGCTTATAGAATAAGAAGATGAGGAAACATTTAAAAAAGCTAGAGAAGACAAGAAAGCTGGGAGAGTACTAGGATTCCAGGTGAAGGGAGAAAATAATATGAAGATGGAAAAGGTATAAAAAAATGTCAAGATTACAGAAGCGCCAAAGGCAATGAGAATCAACAAAAGGTAGCTGGATTTCACAATTAGGTCATACGTAGTAATAATAAGATGGCAAATAGTGAAAGAGAAGTTGGTTGATGCAGAAAAAGAAGGAGAGAGTGCAGCCAATGTTACATAGGAATGTTCAATGCTGAAAGGAAGAGGAATGATAGGTTATTAGTTTGCAGAGGAAGGTTCAATTAGGACTTAAGAAGAAGAGAGGGACCTGATGATATCAAGGAAAAGATGCAAGAAAAATGGTCTAGCTAACGGTGGCAAGGGGGTAATGATGAAAACAGAAGTAGTGATAAAAGAAGTGAAAGATCATGGTTGTTTACCTGAGAATGGGAAGAATTAGTAGAAACAGACTTCTAATACGGAGACATTTGAAAAGAACTAAATATTTACAGGTAAGGAACTTAAAACATTGTTTGGGACACAGGGTGGAACAAATTCTAGGTATCATAATGGTCATTATTAATAAACTAGAGGAGTCCCTCAGCCTGTCTGTCCCCTCTCACAATCTGGGACCCCTCAGG